ACGAAACCCCGCCTTCCAGCCGCCAAGCCAGTTGAATCAAAAGGTAAACCAAAGCCTTAGTATAACCCACCTCGTTAGAAATAACCAATTTTGCACTAGCCTTCCGGAATAAATCATGGAATAAACAGTCTAGTCTCTTATTTTTCTAGCATGTAGATTGTTGTTCTGCAAAAAATCCCAGCGTAGGAAAGTTTGCAATAAATTTTTGAATCTCAAGCGATAGAATCTGCTAGGTGAGATGGCCCACTTATTAAAGACAGACATTTTTGTGCGATCAACAGATAACAGAGTATTTTTAATGCATATTCTTCGTCATTAAACTATAAAATCTATCAAAACTAACAAAACCAATGGGAAAATAGCTTGAAAGATTTATTACCTACCCCAATTTCAGTTCCATTTGGCCATTGAAAAGTGTTAAATACACTGAGTACAGAAATCATTGTTGGATGCTGCGGATTAGTGAGTTGAACGCAGTATGAATACGAAAAAGTACACCGGTCGAGGGCTACACACGCCCCACCGCGCTCGAGCTATGGCCACTCAATCGAGTGGAAACGACAGGTACGAAAAAAATCCTCTACGTAGTGCATTACAAAATGTTTTCTTGAACGACACTACACTCGACAAGTTCGCCCATTTTTCGACACGTCACCTTTACTCGCCTAGTCAAAAACGAGCCTGGAATGTGGTAGTTGTATATACCACCGGAGTGAAACGAAATTTCTAGCGTAATTCGAACGAAATGTAACTTTTGGAAGCTTTGGGTTCATCATTCTAAATGCTAAAAGTAGTGTCAAGTTTGTGCTCCATTATAGATGCTGAAGCTTACATTCTATAAACTAGCCAATATGAACGAATCTTCCAAAATGGCATCAAAGATCCTACGACGCTGACTGCAAAGAGTTGCGAAGGACATCAGAGAGCGCCGAAAAAAAATCTGTAGAAATTTCTCATGCAATGGTCCGTACGCAACCGTGGCAGGCAACCACGCATGGAGACGCAGAACAGAACAAAAATAGTCAAAAACGTGATTTTGTAGTACCACCCTCCCCCCCCCCCCCCCCCTCACACTACTGCACGGCTTCAGTAAAAAAGTTTCGGCCTCGAAGAAGCGTTGCAATGTTCTAGGTAAGACTAGGACAAATTTTTAGTATTGATTTTCATTCTCATTTTCATTTGTACGCTCAAGGCGTTCAATACAAAGGACAAAAAAAAACACAAAACATTAATAATGTTTCTGTGGGAAACCTGCAACGACAAGGGAGCTTTTTTTTGTGAGACATTCTTTTTTTTACAAATTTTTTGATTTTGCATTTTCATGAAATATTCGAATCTGCCACTAAAACTTACGAACTCAGCTATGTACAGAGTTTTTTTTTTCACAGATAGGTGGATAGCGGCCCTGTGCATTTCTGTTACCAGACTAAAACTCGCAAAATTTGTAGCGACGATTTGAAAGCTCCGTTTTCGGCGGTGTACTCCTAGAGAATTAGGGTTCTGCAAAGCTTCCAGCTTTCTAAGAGCAAAAAATGATAGTTTAGATTCAAATTTATTTATTCGAATTTGATTTGTTTCGGCCTAATATAACCTCTCCATAAGACAATGCTCATGTCCCACACTTAAAAATAGACCAGAGCGGCCTAAACTTTATAAACACTAACTGGGAGGTATCTACTAACACTGGTCGAAGGGTAGTACATACGATATATTCGTGACCGAAAACCTAAACCCTTATGTTCTTGCCCAAACCGCATTCTTTTGCGACGTTCAGCGCACTTGAGGGTATGGAGTACGGTCTGAGCGATGACTGAAGATGAATTTTTGACTGCAAACGAATTAGAAATGTTGCAGCTAGAGCTAAGCAATGGTTTGATTAGAACCTTTCCATCAGTTTTCAGAGTGTTTTTTTTAAGAAATTCATCATAATGACCAGACTTCATCATAGTGCTCAATTCCAAACGACTAGACTAGTACTTCAATGACGGATTCGAGAACTATACATTCAGATTATTATGCCACATAAGCAATCTTGTCCAGTTCTGCGTCATAAAAGCCATGAAATGACGGTGGATGAATCAGGGTGCAGTAATTAGGCATCATAGCAAAACCAGTTTACTCCAAAATTGAGAGCCTTTGAACGTTGCGGGCATGCATCATGCGGGCAACTAATGATTACCAGAATAAATTCGAGTTTTGAACTAGAGCATTACTATCAATAATTGCCGCATGTTCACATTTTATATGCGAGTACAACAAATTATAGTAAAAACGATGAAAAAAGTTATGTTGGCGAGTAATCATAACTACCATTAGCAGGTAGGCATAACTCTCTCGAAAATCTACTGCAACGAATCGCATCTGAACAAACACATTGCAGGCTATGTTTATTCATAAAGGGCTATTTGGTAGATGTGCTAAATATACTTTGATCTCCCTCGATTCAGTTTCAGAATTCTTCCTTCTTTAGACAAGCAACAAGTTATGTCCATTTCCAAGCAGATTTAGTTCATCTTGGTTCTACCACCATAAGACTTACCGCAAACTTGTAAAGCTAGTTCTATAAAATGAGTACTACCCATGCTAATTTTGAAGAGCGAGGGAGCATTGCAAGGTTGAGTAACGATATCAAAAGCTTCCGGGCTAAACTAGGGAGAATTTCGACTAATCTGCTGTTGCTCGAAGACGTTCGGCGCAAGAATGAATCCGCTTAGAGTGCACGCTCAGAGTATTAGATAATCACATAAAATGAGTACTCATATGCTTTTACACAAACCTAAAGGGCAGGGCGTATATGATGCGATTCCATCGCTTCGCAAGTCTCTCAACAGGACAACTGTTACCATTTCACTGCATGCTGTTCATCTTGCATTTCGGGTGTGACAGTTTTACGACACGACTAATTGCGACTAACTATCACGACCAAATTTCAAGATGATAGGCGTGCAATGTACTTGTAAAAGTTGTTTTGCTGGAAGAATCGCGAGGCGATGGAATCGCGTGATGTGTGCCCCTTAAGCTATCGCAGTCTAAATTACAGCAACTTCGTATGGATAGGAAAGACGTTATCATATTGAAGAATGAAGAGCGGCCTAGAACAATTTTTCCTCAAAAACAGTTCTCATTCGCCAAAGTATGCACGCATCGAAACGTTCTCTTTGCACTTCTCCAATCCAATGTGCAAACAGTAGTTGCGCAAAATTTAGTTTGCTTAGTGGTGCAAATTCCGTCCCAGTAGGGATCCTTTCCTTCCAACCACTTATCACAGAATGCAGTAGTTTGTTCTACAAAACTGGTACAAATCAGTCGATGTATTCCATCCGAGAATATTCAAGACCAGTCCGCTGGCGAAAATCTTTGACGCCATTTTCATTTTGATATTAGAGATTTTTTTGATGAAATTATAATTTATATCGAAGGCTGCTAAAGTGGTAGTGACAAAATGAAACGAGAAACTACGTCACTTGTAAAAACTTCTTGTCCTTCGAGTAATTTTTCTTAATTATAACGAAAATCGTTAACTCACTCGTTCGACAAACCATACAACATGATGCCATATAGTTTCCGGTATTGTTGGGTGCATTACTATCAAAATGCTCTGCAATGCGCAGCACTAAGTTTTGGAAAAAAATTGAATGATGATCCCGAGAGAAAAAAAGCATATAAGAGACGTCTAATAAGCAACACAGAGAAGTGCCGATGAAACTGGGAACTCATAGGTTAAAAAAAAAACAAATACAACAAGAGATGAAATGAAGCCATCAAAAACAGCAATCAAACCGAACTTAAAAGAGATTTATGAATAAAACCCGGAAAATGCCCAGAATAAGAAAAAACCTCAATCAAAAATTGCAAACTAAAAGCAGAGCTCCAATACGTAGCATCCTTGAAGATAGAATGATATCTGGTATGTAGGCCAAAACATCAAGCAGCTTCAAACGCTGATTTTGCACCCATGATGTGAAGAAGTTCCCTCTTATAGGAATATGAATATTTCCGACGTATTAGCAATCGTATTAGAAATCTTAGTTTGAAATGGCAAAGCAACGGTGGGCCATTCACATTGTACAGCGTTCTCGAACGACTACACGTCAAATTCTTCACAGCCAATACTTACGGCACCTACAGTGACAGCGAAAATGTCTCACAGTCTTCGTCACAACTACATTTGAATAAGGTGTGCATGATTCGTTTCCTTCTAGAGTTTCGATAGAACTTGTATCGGAACTTCAAACATCTCAATATGTATGATTTGCCAAGATAATTGTTTCCAAAGGTGCAGTATATTGAACTCCAATGAAATTTTGGAACTGCAAAGCGATCAAGCAACTAAAGACCTGAAGCTTACAATGCTAGTTTTAGCATAAAACTTTCCCGATAAGCGTCAGTAAAACCTACAATCAGTAGAATCACTACGGCAATTTTCATCATTCCGATCTGTAAGAAATTAGCACTGAAAATATTGACACATATCCACTCTATCCTAGTTAAATGCGACCATTCTTCTCGATCTAAATTTGAACAGTATGATATTTTTCAAAATTTGAGGCCCTAGCTCTAAATAAATAAATAGGAATCCACCATGTAAAAGACATAAAGGTGTAAATATGAAAGAAAAATTTGTGAAAACATGGGAAAATGAATTGTACAGCCTTGCAAACTCTAAATAAAATCTATTCAAACGACTGCGAGCTCGCAAAAACGTCAGCCCACGGCCGGGATCGAACCGGCAATCTTCTGATTAGAAGTCAGACGCCTTATCCATTAGGCCACGCGGGCACGCCCAGTTCCATAGCAATGTTCACTATGCATGAATGGACTCGAGGCAAGTGGATCGCTATATCGCTACACATCTCTTCCAAAAATGCTACACATCTTTTTATAGAGGCAGTATTGAAAGATTCAAACGACCTTTCCAGTATATCTTCCTTATTTGCACAACCACTCGGTGTTATCCTTGGTACGAAAAAAGAATGAGAAAGTTTGTAAACTGCACTCACTGGTACTCCATATCGCACTTGGGTTTCGACGTTGTCACCCGCCATTTTGTCAGAACTTTTCAGATCATGCAATACCGATGTGCAAGAGCTAAAAAGGAACTATTAAAACTACGAAGTGTGCTAAATCCTACATCAACAAAACGATGTGGAAAATAAAGGACGAAGACACTAGAAAGACTAGAGTTCAAAAAAAGGAAAATTCTCTGGAAGAATTCATGTGGTCACCATGGAAACGGTTGATTTGCCATTATAAGATAAGACAAGAAGATGATGATTGTGGAGATGAGATGGTGTAACGCCTCAATTGTGAAAATGGAATTCACACTAGTTAGAATCTTAGATTGTTTGCAAAATATTGAAGGAATATATATTTGAGTTTCTCTCTGTGCAGATAATTATATACTGAATTAAAAACAAGAATAATCATCCATTTTCTGAATGTAATAAGCCCTCTTAGCAAAAAAATAAAGAAATCTGATTTAGATAGAGGCGTACACCGCACAGCTAATGGTTCAGTACAGCAAACTAATGAGAATACGTGGACAGCATGGCGAGCATTGTCATGATTGATTTATCCTATTTTTACAACCTCCGCATTCATATCCATTCATGCAAAAATATTATTGAAATCCAATTCTCTTTGTTCGTGTCACTCTTTCATCCAATCAATTTAATCTAGCACAGTACACTAGTTATTATATTGCTATCAACATATACTAAACTGTAGATTAGATAATCTATCTCATAATAATTATGAAGTCCCTTTACTATTGACCAAAGGAGAAGATCATTATTTGCACTGATATCATCATTAGAAAGTGATTGAAACACAGACTGCTAGACCCAACAGTATTTTGGAAAGCTATCAAGCTCAGATTAATTTTCCATGTGGACTTAATGTGCTAAGAAATACTGCTGTGCTAAGAATTAAGAAATAAGAATGAAATAGAAAGTGATCTGACACAATCTTGCTTGAGATAGACGAATGGTAGGGATATGAAATCTATTCAAAAAAATATAGAAGGATATACAATGAAAATGACTTGAATCAAAAGAGATTTGGGAATAAGAAGAACCATGTTAGAGATGATAATATGCTGATATTGTGAAGATCGTTTAACGACAAGTATACTGAAAAAATCAATATATACGCAAACTTAGGTTGCTTTCTCCTTTCTTATAAAAAGACTGGATTTCTCCAATTTTGTGATTACAACATACAAATTTCTATTTCAATGAAACCAACGACATTCGCTGTTCGCGGAGACCTATAGAAAATCATAATTTTCCCATGAAACTACAGTTCGTAGTGCTTTTCCAATGCGAATGTGATTATGTAAGATCTCTCGAGTATGTAATCAAAATCGATTAAATTTTATTGCTATTTAGAATGCAAACGTCGGCGCATAAGAAATTTACTTTGTCAAAAACTACAGATAAGAATAATCAGACTTTGCTGCGGAAGCCAAAACTACTTTAATTTTTTTTTCAAAATTTTTGAAATCATCATAGCTAATCGCAAGTATGAACAGGTCAATCTGCACAATCTTAAGCTTATGTAATTTTTGAAAATCTCGCTACCTACTCTCGAGTGGGGGGGGAGGGTGGAGCCGTGCTCAGACTTGGGGAGGCGTGCAAGTGGTACCCGGGCAGCCGACTGCTGCCGCAGCCAGCCGCCAGAGCTGCCGACAAAGCCGCTGCAACTGGTACAGTAATTACACTCGTCGTCTAAAACTCTTGCCGAGAGGATTCCTCGCACCTCGTCGCTCTGAGGTGCGAAATCAGCCTCAGGAAAGCGTGTTATCCCCGATATTTATGTCATTTTGAACAGAAAAAATTTCGTGTTTTTTGAGAATGCAGATAAACAAAGGTAAAGAGGAGGGTTTTTCTAGAGGAAAATGATCACAAAATCAAATCACTTCAAAAACTTCAAAGGAAGCAGAAGCTGAAAAAATTAAAAATTCTCAAATTTCTAAAAAAATTCTCTTTTACGTCGAAATATGGACGAGAACAATTACAGGAAAATGTCATGGATATAACGTTAAGAAAACTGTGTCAAAATAATTATTTCATACATGGTGATGTCAATCGAGCTAAATAAGGCAAAGTAGGTCAATCAAGTTGAGTGAGTCAATGATAGCGTAATATCCTCAATATCTATATTATTTTAAACAGCAGAGAAAAGCCATATTTCATTGAGGATTATACAGTCAAATGCAAAACTACCCGAAAAATTTCCAAAAATTCACAAGCAATTACGAAAATGAATGAATAGGAAATCAAACAGTTTCTTCTGTTACAAATTATGAAATCGAAGTACAATAAATATCCATTGACGCTGTGTTTTAAGGATCCTTGTTTTCCAATTAAGAATTCTTACAAATCGAATTCACATTTCTATGAAACTTCAGAATCCGAAATGCTTTTTTGTTTTTATTATTTGCAGTGAGTTGTGAACTTCGAATTTGATTGACTTTCTTTGCCTTGTTTAGCTCGCTTAACACTATATATGAAATAATCATTTTGACAGAGTTTTCTTACCGTTATATTCATGACATTTTCCTGTAACTGTTCTCGTCCGTTCTGTAAAAGCGAGGAAAAAATCTCTAGAAATATGAGAAACTTCTGATCTTTTCAGCTTCTGCTACCTTTGAGTTTTTGAAGTGATTTGAATTTGTGATCATTTTCCTTTAAGAAACCTCTCCTTTGTTTACCTTTGCTTATTTGCATGTTTCTCAAAAACCGTGGATTTTCTGCTGTTCAAAATAATATATGTAGATATCGAGTATATCACGCTTTCCTTAGGCTGATATCGCACCTCAGAGCGACGAGGTGCGAGAAAACCTCTCGGCAAGAGCTTTAGACGACGAGCGTAGTTACTGCACCATCTGCAGCGGCTTTGCCGGCAGCTCTGGCGGCTGTCTGCGGCAGCAGTCGGCTGCCTGGGTACCACTTGCTACGCACCCTCAGACTTGCTGCAAATGCATCAAACAATCATATAAAGCTACTTTGCTCTATCGAGTGATACACGCAATCTTAAAAGTGGAAATAATGTGGTACTTCTGATACAAAGTAATTTGATGCAAGACTAATGGATCTTCACCAATTTTGAGATAACCTTTGTGATGAGCAGATGAGTAATTGATTTGAGTAGAAATCCATGAAGATCTATATTTATTAGAGCTACCAGATGCATGCAGTGCTCCCTGCTACCTGATACTCAATCCAGTAGAAACATGAACCAAGGTTTGTTCTTTTGGAAAAATAAACAAATCCTTCGGTTTGTAGAGACTCGCCTCATTCAATAAAATAGTGAGTGAGTACTTGATACTTGCACCCGGCATATGAAAAAATGAGCATTCAGTATCCATTAGGTTGAACCGAAATTCTGCGCCGTTATAAAACATTACAACTCCTGCCACGATATTATTGCCTTGAATTAACACCTTAAAGAGCAAAACATGCACTTTCGATACCTTGCTTACTCTCTAGCAAGCTTTGATTGCAGAAATAAAAATACAAAAAGAAACTTTTGGGATTACGTGATTTTGAACAGGCCCGTTAGAAACCTATGAACTATGCAACAACCAAAACAATCAATAACATTGTTCTGACATCCTCCTTCTAGCAGAGTTGTGCCAAAAGAGCTCTTTTTTCGAGAAGGTATGATTTTCGAAAAAATAGCAAAAAACGGGAAAATTGATATTTTAGCATTTTTCAAAATCATAACTATTCATAGAGAAGGTCGATAAGCATGAACTTTGCTCAGTTAGCAAGAGGAGGTTAGGAAACTCATGACACTGATGGTTTCAGATTTTATGGCAATTTAATATTTTCAAAAGGCAAAGTATTGGTAGTTGGTGTATTGGAATATTATGCAAGACTACAGTGACAGAAAGAAGCTAGGATTTTTTCTGGCATGACAGAGCCTTCCCAACCTAATATACGCACTAAGATGATAAGAGAAGTTACTAAGAACCAACTGAAAATGCTCCTTCATCTTTGAACGCTTGAATACGAGAAGATACAAAAGCTTTGGCTGTAAGCTTTAACATTGTACGCTATTGCCCAAGGAAGTAACCTTGAAATACAAGAAAATAAAAATTCCCATGAACTTGACGATTTATTCGAGCAAAGTCTAACATTAGAATTTTTTGATGTGTACGTCAAGAGGTGCGATTTTTTATTGCCAGATGGACACCATGACATTCTAAAAGTATTCAAATTTTAGAAAGAGAGATATAAGACAGCTGCATGAAATGTTCAATCTTCTTTAATCTGCCTTGGAAACGATCCGATTCAAAAAGCAATTTTGAAGGTCCAAAATCGATAAAAATGCAGTTGAGAACAAATTCGTAAATATTTCGATCCGTTTTCCAGCATAAGCCACCAAACTCAGCAGGTGGTAACCTCAAACAGCTAGTAAGCCAATGCACTATATCTGGCACATTTTGAAGACTCGCATAACACTAAGCTGGAGTTTAGAATTTGGACAACGGGATAGATCGCGCCTCTTGACCACCTCCCAATTTTTTGCATGCAAGTCTGACTGAGGATGTTGTATTGAAATCAATCATGCATAAAAAGGCAGGTAGCGGGATAAGGTTTTTTTGATACATATCACCGCCCATGAATAAGAAGTGTATCTCTATCATTTTGAATAGTACATACGCAGACAAAAAGATGTAGTTGGGAAGTAAGGTGCGAGAAGCATTTCGATTTTTTGGCGATATAACAATACAGCGGCGACTCAAGACAACATCGCAACGGCTCATCATCTCTGGAAGAGCTTTTTGAGGCACAATCGATAACGAAGCTAAACCAGTTCTGCGTTGCAAGTCAATGAGTAGAGACACTAATCTTCCCAAGTTACAGTAAGATGAACTTTGTAGAAACTGTTTTGATCAAGAATGGTGATAACTAACATTTAAGACCTTATTCAAGCGTTTTTTTTGGTAAAGACATCTCACTTTCCGTTTATAACAAAAGTGTACTAAACTAATTACATTCCGATTTATTTAAAGCATCGTTGAGGACTCAGAAGATCCCCGATCAAGAGCAATCCCAAGAAAACTTTCATAAAAGTATCAGTTGCCTCGTAAGTTCCGTCCGTTTTCACTTTTCATCCCAAACACTACCACTTGTTCGTCAAGAAAGCTCTGGGGTACCTTTCGATAGAGCAAAACAACTCTACAAGGTGGTTCCCAAACATTTGCGCAAAAGTTCATTCTACATTGGATTAAAAATCGTTATTTAAAAAGTTTCCAAGAACCCGGTAACTCGACAAAAATTCAAAAGTCTGTTCGAAACATTTCTGGAAAGCTCTAACTTATCCACGCATACAAATCCCTCATCTAACAATCATATGCCCACTTGCCGTATTTTTTTTTTTCATCGCTAAAAAATCGAAAAAACGACTATCGGCATGTTTTTTTAAAAAGCGATGCTGAGCTGCTTACTTACAGATAATTCTATAGCACAAGCCTTCAAAGTATAACCACGAATTTTTAGTCTTCTTCAAGTAATAGACATCAAGAAATTCCAAAAGTAGGGTAAAAAGCCCGAAAAAAGCGACATTTTCGTATTTTTGGCCTATTTTTGTTTTTCAGTTTGTAGCACTGGAAAAATATAGCAAATGTGCACAAGAACATCAGATAATCGTATATACATCAGGTTAGAGGCTCCTAAAGATTTTTCAAACAGTTCTGAATTTTTTTCGATTTTTTGGGGTTTATGAGAGTTTCTAAGTCTTAATTTCTAGCTTACGCTGGAACTCTCTGCAGAACTTTGGATGCCCTTTCTAGAGTTTGTTTTGCTCTATCGAAAAGTACCTTGGGGTTTCCGAGACTAAAGAAAAATGGGTTATAGGGATGAGAAATGAAAACGGACGGAACATATAGGACAACAGGAGGACTAATATTATATTGAAGAATATATAAATAATTTAGGGAAATTTTAGGAATTTCAACAAAAGAAGTCGGCTAGAAATCTACAACATAACTTCAACATTACAAAGTTTATTTTCGGTTTTTATCTTTATTCACAGAATCACTACTGAAGGTCCGACCATGCAGTATGTGTGAAGACACAGGCCTAATGAAAAGGCAAGCATATTAGGATTTAGCCAACGAAGATGAAATCATTAGTTTGCATCCTACAGCGAAAAAGCACCGCAGTTTTTGAGCTTATAGACCATAGAGCTTAGCTAGGATCCTCCAAAATAAAAGAAAGAACCAAAACAACAGGACATGTCGCGTAAACTTGGAAATCCTTTTTGACCATTTTTCTGCAGAAGCTTCTTTCTATCACGATGAGCCCAAATAAAGAGAAACAACAGTTCTAAAATTTAGAAAAGAATAAGAGAGCGAATTGTTGGAGCGATGACTATGGATCAAAATCACGCTCTCACAATGATGCTAGAACTTTGAATTGGCGAACGAAAACTGATGAGAAGCAAGATATTTTTACGATGTGTGATGCTTGAAGGCAATTGTTTAGCAATAATACCATCTAGAACCAGTAGGATGAAGAAGACAAACTCGCAAACAATAGCACAGATCCGTACTGACAAAGAGCAGCTTAAATATTTATAACTACAGATGAGATCAAAAGCACTTCTTTTGACACAAGATTACGGACAAGGCAGAACAAGGGTTTATTACAGCACGTCCCCTTAGATAATTTCGGCAAATTAGGTTCAAAAAAAGTCGCAGTAGATTGCTATCTAACATAGCAAAAATGAGAAAACGAAGAGAGATGTCAAATAACGAAAGAAATGCTTCCAGATCCACTGCGACTACTATCTATACCTCTCACATGGCATTCATTCATACAGCTCGAAAACAGTCTCTCCCAATGTTTGTAAACAAATATTATGCGGAGGAGCAGATAAGAATTAAACGTGGTGTAGTCTCTCAAAATTGCGATCAAAATTCAGCAACCGTGCTTATTCAAAAACAGCCTCTTAGAACGAAAAGAAAAAAAAGAACGGACTCGATAGACTGCTGCGATGCAGAAGATGATCCTTCAAATCCACAAGAAGGAACGTAATGAAAATTAGAAGTTAGAGACATGTGCAAAAACTGAAAAAGATTGAGATAAGGCTTCAAGCCCATTCAGAGGGGAAATGGCACAAACTTCGCCTAAAAAGGATTAGAGGGATTTGGCATATCGTAGTGAGGTTCGATAATTTGGTTCCGAATAACTTGCCACCGATAACATAGTATAATTGTTATTACAGTTGTAAATACTAGCTGGAAAGAAGTCCTGTGTATTTAGAACAAAGATCAGAGATACATGAATATTTATTTCAGCTGATCAAACAATCACAAATTGACAAAAAGATCCATCGTAATCAGCATATCAACAGCCAACAAATATTTACACAACAGGACTCGGAGAATATTCAGCGTCCAAGCCTTCAAAAAAAATGACAGAGACCGGTAATCCAAAATAGAGGGAAATGTTGTGAGATAGACTTTACGCTACTATAATGAATTTGGTTAAGCTGAGCCATCAGAACCAGTACTCGTGTCGGAACTTTCAGAATCCGAGTCTGAACTGCTACCTATGTCCGTGTCACTATCTCCTGCAAAGGACACACATAAAATTTGCTATCGTTCATAACACTGCACAGTTATTAGTAGTATATAAGAGAGAGTATTGTAAAAAAAACTAGACTACCTTCTCGGACTTTGTCCGGCCTTTCTTCGTCGGATTCGTCCCCCGCTCCTCTTTCCACGTCTCTATCGTCTGTTACTGACTGGGCTTCCTTTATAGAAAGAAATTTCAAGATAAAATTTATTAGATAAAGAGATGTACGTAGCGAATAGTATAGTGAAGAAACTTATAAAACAGGGGAGGAGAATAACAAGAAGGAATTTCATTTGCAACTCACCTTAGCCATTTGCTCCCTCTGTTGCTTCCACCGCGCCGCTGCCTCTAGTAATTTGAAAGATCCTTTGGCAGCTGAAATAGCAGAAAATTTATTTCTTTAGGACTGTGCCCTTTAGTGAACTTAGGCAAAACAGGAAAAAGAGCCCCGAATGATGCGTCCATACTCATTACTATTTATTCCGTTTCAGCGCTAGGAGCTACACCTGATTTGATTTCAGAAATTTTTTCCCAATAGAAAAAGCCTAACAGAACAATCATCTTGCAACTAAAAAGTTTATGCGACGCATGTAGAATTCGCTGTGAGCAGCTTCTATGGAAAGTACTCCCCTACAGGCGAAACTTGCCTTGATCTTGTGGGAAGATATAATCGTAGTACTCTTCCCATCCAGCATCCACACCATCTTCTGTCTGGATTTGCCTTCTCTTCTTCACACGCCGAGGCATCATATTTTCAACCCTGAAACGAGCATTTTCAAGAGGGGAAAAAATAGATGTCTTTCAAACAAAAAGTCATTAGATAACAGCTCTGAAAATGCATGGGTTGCAAATCCAGTACTAAAAATTTTAAATTAGGGATTTCTTGCCATGGCTGAAAGTGATGTAGTCAAACTTCTGCCATCAATGGACTTGCAAAAAACAGCTGACCAAATGTCAACTTACGTCTTCAGCACGTAAACCATATTATGACCGGGAACGATCGGTGACAAAGATTTGTTGAAAGTGGAGACAATGGAAGGACGAAAGGAGATACCCACTTGTGAATGGCGTTGATGTCTCCAATCTTCTTTTCAGCTTCAAGCCAGGCCTCTAACAACATGAGACGCTCCTCCTTCTCCGCATTTTCCAAGGCCCTATTGGCGCGGTCGTAAACCTTAAAAAACTTCAGCATTGAAAAAATGTGAATAGAAGATTTGTCATTCTCGAACCAGCATTAATCAAATATTAGCACAAGTGTAGCGGCATTACTACTGGGTGAAGATAAAAATGATATCAATTGTTTGCGAAACGATACGGTACTAGGAGCGCTTCGGACTACAAGAGATAGAATACTCCAATTGCACGAGTACAAGACGCGCCCGTTTTCGTTCGTAAACTTGACCATTCTGCTGGAAACATCAAAAAATTTCGCGACCAAAGGACCCTCTACCATGCTGTGAAAGAAGAGCGAGCAATTTGCAAGGTACAGTGGTGCGGCCAAGGTACTTGCCTGGAAAATGAAAAGTATGCGTCCTGTACTCGTGAATGGGTTAATAGATAGCGCGTCAAAAACAGCTACTAAGCATACAGCTGAACTGCAAAGTCCATATCAACGCGAGATACTAATACTGTTCTAGTAATGATAAACCATATGGATTTATAAAAAACACGGGAATACTTAAAAGCCTTGAACTTACTTTCCTCGTACCCTCCACGTTTCCTATAGATAGCTCAAACTCCGCAAGAGAAATCCAGACCTAAACAGAAGAAGAGAATATATGGACATCAAACCCACTCATCTAGCGAACCTTGATGTGATTCGTTCGCTGCAACAGCGCCTCATACAAGTCACGAGCTTTCTCGTACTCTTCTGCATTGATTTCGAAATCAATGTAAGCTTTCCACAAGATCTAAAAGAGGTACAATTTCGACTACATTTTATCCGGTATGTTCTATATGCAACCATCATCGTTTGAGATGTAACTCTTTAGAATGAACACATATTTGCATAGCTTGAAACTACAGAAATTAGGGCCCTGGTAGTCTTCAAAACAAACCTCCGGCATGTCTAGAGCAGGTTGTTGCACGGCAATGTCGAATATAGCTCTTGCGCGGTCAACATCTCCAAGAAGCGTCTCAAGCTCGGCGAACTAAAAAAGAATAAAGCTACACTGTGTTGCGATGTAGGAGACGGAATTGACCGGCAATGATATACATTGACATTTTACTCACCTTAATCCATGTGTTACTGTTTTCTGATGAATATTCAAGGAACTTTTCGTACAGCTTCCGACATCTATCGAACTCTCGTAATTGCAACTCCAAATCAATGTATGAACGGAACAATTTTTCTTTAGGGCATTTTCCAATCGAGACTCCCTAAAGTTGATACGTGTAACCATAGAACCCAAACATTGTAACAAAGCACAAGTTTTCCACATTCTCGATAACATCAAAAGCGCACCAAGATCTTCCTCGCGGCAGCGAGATCCATTTGTCGAATTTCGAAATGTGCGAACATAATCCAAATCTTTGCAAAAGTAAACTTTTTATGTGGAATGATGTCCAGACATGCTTTATAGACCTAAAAGGTTTCTATAAAAATTGAAATCAAGAAGAAAGAACGGATATAGTGGTAAAAAATCGAACGGTAAGCAGTAGCTATACCTGTCTGGTTCTCTCAACATCATGAGCTGTTAGCTCTTCGTAAAGTGCATAATTAATCCATAGATAGATATACCGCCTCCAATAGCGTTTTTCCTAGAATGAAAAGAAACAGTGGTCTCGACGATATTCAAGCAATATGGCTTACATCATGAGGAGGGATATTTGCTATAGCTCTTTCATACAAGTCCTCCACCTCTTCTCTGGGGCATTCCTCGTTTTCTAATAATCTCAGGTAGTCGAACCAAGCATCATAGTTGAAAGCGTTCTCGGTAACTTGCTAAATACAAATACCTTCTCTTAACAGCTAGAGAACATTACGACTTATCCATGAATCTAACCTTCTCGTATTGTGTTCGCCTCTTACTGACGATAACATCCTCTATGCCAGCTCGTTCTCCATACTTTTTCTCATGCACGGTGTAGTGCTTGAAGATATCCGCTGTTCTATCCGAAGGAAGGTGATCTAACCCATACCTGGACAGACAAACTACTCGTACGACAAATTAAGCTATGATGTGAAAGAAGGGAAAAGGCGGACAGATTGCTATAACCCTGTATAGTATAGTAAGCGATATCGTACTTGTAGATGACTCGCGCTCGCTCGTGTTCCTTTTGACGTTCTTCAAACAGGGCAAATGCCACTAGCAACTTCTCTTGAATGTTGTCTTCTCCAAAATATTCCATTCCGCGCTCATAGACCTAAAAAAACTGCTGGGATCGGAAATTCAATTATCAGAAAAAGATGAATGTCTGCTTACCGCTCTAGCGTTACCTATATAACCATGCTTCTCTTCAAAGCGTGCATATTTTATCCAATTATTTACATTTGTACCATGCACATGCAAGAATCTCTGATAAATTGAACGTGCTCGGTCGATTTCCTTATATCTAAAAACAGGAGTTGTGGAGAATGAGACATAAACAAAAAACCTTTCTGGACAAGCTGAACACACCTCAACTCGAAATTGATATAGGTCAACCAAGCTTGCTCATCTGGCTCCCATTCCATCCATCGTTCATATATCTGGAACAAAACCGTTCTGATGGATCCCATGTATGAAGGAAATTATGGGATCTTCTCACAGCACATTTTTATTTCAGATAAGGTTGATATTGCGAAGCTGCCTGAACCTGATGACACTCTAGCAGAAATTTTTGATACCGCCCTAATATTTTTTGAGTAAGCAATTTGTTGGTGACAAAAGAAAAGGAAAACGTCAAGTGGTGTTGATCATCAAGCTAACTCGCTTTCATTCAGTACAATGATGCTTGTATATTTGTGCCACATTTATCAAAACACTACAAAACAGGATATGTAGGTAGGATAAAAATCATCACTGGCCAAAAAAACAGCTAGCCGAATACAAAAAGAGAAGTAAGAAAAAAAGCCTAAGTTGCATAATTTTTAACCTGTCTTGCGCCAGGCACATTTTCGATGACTTCCTCCATATATGAGTACTTCAACCAAAACTGCATAGCTCTGGGCAAGATGGTGACAGCACGGTCAAATATATTTCTGGCATGGTTGATCTGTTTGCTTCTAAAACCACAAAAGATGGTCATAAATTGAGAAGCTCCCAATCAAAACGGCTAAATGCTTTTTTTGATGACATACCTCATTTCCATTTCAGCATACTGCAACCAAATTGTGATTGAACGATGATCCACATCTAAGGCACGCTCAAAAACTGATCGAGACCGTTGTATTTCGCCTATGGATTCTTCCCATTTGCCGTATTTGATCCAATTTGCAATTTGCATTCTAAATACAGGATGAAAAAGTATGTAATAAGCATGTACTTTGACCCACCTATTTTTCCTGATTCCATCCTCAAACTCCTTACGTTTTCTTCTTTGAAACTCCAATAATTCATCTGGATCAGTGATTTTGGTCTTGGGAGGGAGCGGGATTAACTCAAGCTCTCTTTCCTTGGCTTCTCGAAGGAGCTGCTCAGCAGTGATCTGCAGCTGAGCGGGAGCCTGAAAGAAAAATGATATGGATAAAGGTGATCTTGCTAAAAAAGTAGATGTCAAAGAGGCAAATCAAGAAAAAACAAACCTTGTTTTTGACTTTGGCAGCCTTCTTCGGCAAGCGCAACGGCTTGTTACCCGATTGCTGCTCCTCATCGTCACTCATTCCTAGACAAAACAGTTTCAGTTCACGAGCAAGAATGCTACATGAATTACGAATCGGCAAGTTCGACAAATCTGCGTTGACACTCTAAAGAGCTTATAAGCAAGACTGCAAAGCATGGAGATAAAACATAATGAGACATGGAATACGAGCTCATAACTCCCTAGCTATGCAACGAAACAACATACTGAAGCGTCATTTACGAAAATACGGTCTGTACGAATTGCGAGCACGACAACATAAACGAATAAAGGAGTCCTTTTGAACTGCTTACAAAGTGTACTACATATGAAACAGCAAACCATTTCTGAAAAGATAAACAGAAAACAACGCGAAGTTCTTGAATAATCCAGCATATGTACACTGAAGTGATGCTGCACCACTTGAAAATTATTGTGCAAAAGCGCGTCGTGCCTCCCGCAAATGTTCGTCCAGACGGGTCAAAGTTGCAGCACTGCAATCAAGAGCAAGGAAAGTCACTGCTAATTATTTCGGACGGTGTGCGTATTTTGCTTTGCACTTATATTATTTTGACAAGAGAGGGACTTGAAGACTACTCAGGAACGTATGGTTGATTCCCAAAAAGTCTCCATAGGGCATGTCAACATGGCTGCCTTCCGATCGCTTCTAGGCCCTTATTCGAAGTTGAAATGTCAGAACGATCGAAAGGCAGATACTCTAATGTATGGGAATATTTCTTGCAGAATACGCATTATCGTCTTCCAAATTGTGTGCCAGCTCAAAGCGGTTTTTGATAGCGGAAGAGTAAGAAACGATGCTGTAACGTGGAGGTTCAACAAGTTTGTCCTTGTAACAAAGGAATCCACGACCCGCCAACGTCTGGTGCCAATTATATTAGGTCGTTCCATAAATTCGTAGCGTTTTCGTGAAACGAAATGTCAAAATTTTGTCAAAATTCAGTCGGCAGTGTATTTTCCGCTGCTGGGTGCAGCCTTTTGCTCCCTTGCCGTCAGATTTTCCACTTCGTTTTTCCAAAACTCAGCAGGTCGGACCCAAAGAGTCGTCTAACCAACGCGTAAGATCTTTAGAATCGCAACAAGCACCGTTCATGCGGTTTGCAATAGAAGAGGGGCAAAAAATCATCTGGTGGGCGAGGTCTGAGGAGTATATCGGGTACTAATATGTCTCTAAATATCAGTGTTGTCTTGCAAGATAGTTTTGACAACGTTTGCCGTGCGCAGCCATTCTCTGTCATGCAGATTCACTGAACGTGTCTTTTGAGCCATTTTTGCAGTAGGGATTCGTTTGAACGGTGCAATCTCAGACAATCGCAAGGAAAGCTCCGGAGCAAACTGAGCTTTTAGACCTTCCGGAGCGGACGCTGCTATTGGTCCGTGTGGCATGGGCCGTGTAACCTTTGCCTTCCGGAGCGGACGCTGCTATTGGTCCGTGTGGCATCGGCCGTGTGGCCTTTGCCACACGGACCAATAGCAGCGTTCGCTCTGGAAGTTCTAAAAGCTCAGTTTGTTACGGAGCTTCGTTGCGACTGTCTGAGATTGGGTTGCTACGATATGATCAACGTTTTGTTCTTGTCTAGCAATTTTCAGTACAGAACCTCCTGCTTGTCCTGTAAGTCTTGTTCAGGGACCCCCTGCAAATTCTTGGTTTCTCTGGAACGATCTAATTTATTCTCGTCTTGCACTGACGGAAAAGCGCTTCATATTTCGGCAAAGAAGAATCCAGGCAAAAACACTTTTGTAAGAAAAAATGAGCAGATGTTGAGGTTGTTTCCATCAAACTCAATAGTTGCTTCATTGTAAAGATCATGATGAGTTCTTTTCGAGGATATGCGCATCTTGCAGCGAACAATCGCTCTCCACAGAAACGAGGACGAGAATAAAATTGCCACGAACTTATGGAACGACCTAATAGACGCATTGCTTAGGAGATTTTGGAATGCTCAAGCCTTCCGTCTTCAACCCTAGAGATCGAGTCATAAACATTCAACTTTGACAAACCTCGTCAACCTCAATTCAGCCTTATTTGCATCCCCGAAGTGGTGTCTGACGATGCCACAAGTGGTTGTTCTCATGAAGGCAAGGTCCAACTTAGGGTTATCTGACTTCACAGATTTCGTCAAAGGCAATGTCTGAGCAGCAAGAAGAACCATCTTGTTAGACCTTACCAAGTCCGACTAAATATCCCCTCTATGTCGAGAAGCTTGCACTGAAGGTACTCCGAAAAGGGCAATTTGGCCCGCGTTGACGCCTCGCCGGTCTCCTCTTCCAAGTTTCAGCATTCTTTCTATGCAAGAAAGATTATAGATGTCTTACAGGCATCTGGATATGTTGCGTGAAGCGGTGTATGAGGGGCTTAAATCAGATAAAGAGGTGGCTTTCAATGAAGCTAAGTTCAATCTCCTTTGGTCTTCCAGGAGGACAAAAAGAGTAGAGTTTAGGAAAAGACAGGATGTAATGGTGCTTGTGACTTGGGTTTACATAGTTCTGATCGAGTAGAGTACCGTATAGATGCAGAAAGCAGCCTTAGAATCCTCTATTGTCAAACCAAGGATAAAGTGCGGTTCATAATTATACGAACACCCTAAATTTTGAAAGTTTTTGGACTTTCTGAGAGAACCTCAAAAAGCCGTTGGTACCACGCGATAGAACACAGCCGAAAACGGTATAGGGTCGACAAAAATGGAAATCGATGTCAATCTTAGGAGTGTTTTCGCGCCTAATGCGAATTTTTAGCGGTTCATAATTATACGAACACCTTAAACAAAGGTCCATTTTTCATTCAAGATTGCAATATTTCAAATCCAAATTTTTTATAGAGTTACAGTAACAAAGTCTGACATATCTACTACAAGTTGAACCCAGTGCAGCTCAAAAAAGGATCGTTACTTTTTTCAGATGGCTCTAAATGCTTTTGGACTGATTGCGCTCCTAAAACATACGTTCTCCTGTGGTTTACGCACTCTGATTAGCTTCTACCAAAGCTATGAGATAGGATAAGCTCTTTCGATAGATATTTTGTTTGACGCTTGGGAAATCTATGCGTTTTCGTGCCGTTTTTCAACCAAGTTTTAACCTTACAGTTAGCACGATTTTGAGCCTCAAAACTCAGCTTTTCTCTTGCGCAAACATTTGATATGAAGCATCTGCATTCCTTGCATGATGATGTATCCGTGCCAAAGTTTTTGCGTTTTTTGTGGAACTGATCTTGAAGCTATGGAGCAAAAAACCAAATAAAGTTGTGATTGCAATAGTAAAAACAGTGGTTTTGGTGAAATGACGTCTGCGTGGCCAAAACAAGCGCTCAACGCTGCTGATTTTTTTCTAGCCAAATACATAGTCTTGTGAACTTCTACATACCATCTGCTTACTTCATTGTAGGGCCTCCGAAGCTGAGTTTTGAGGCTCGAATCGTGCTGAGTCTGGGGTAAGGTTGGAACTTGGTTAAAAAACAGTACGAAAACGCATAAATTTTCCAAGCGTCAAACAAATTATCTATCGAAAGGGTTTATTTTATCTCATAGCCTTGGTACAAGCTAATTAGAGTGCGTAAACCACAGAAAAACATATGTTTTTGGAGCGCAATCACTCCAAAAGCATTTAGAGCCATTTGAAAATAATCCTCTTTTTGAGCTGCACTGGGTGCAGAGTGTAGCAGATATGTCAGACTTTGTTACTGTAAATCTACAAAAATTTTGGACTCGAAAGATTGCAATTTTGAATAAAAAAAGACCTTTGTTTAAGGTGTTCGTATAATTATGAACCGCTAAAAATTCGCATTAGGCGCAAAAATACTAAGGCATCGATTTCCATTCTTATGGATCCTATACCGTTTTCAGCTGTGCTCTATCGCGTGGTATCAAGGGCTTTTTGAGTTTCTTCCAAAAAGTCCAAAAACTTTCAAAATTTGGCGTGTTCGTATAATTATGACCCGCACTTTATCAGCCATCTCGTGCATGATGAAAAGATCTAAAGTTATTAAGTACTAATCATTTATCATTTATCATCAAAAGGCAAAACCGAGGCAATTTTACCAAGAAGTGAACAGCATGTTTTGAGTCAAATTGCCTTTCTTTATACACATCTACAAAAGATGCCTGAGTCTTTCAACGAATCGGCATATGGAAAGTTATTTAAAGTGGTGCTATCAGAAAGGTAAAAGCGTCCACGTAATTCCTATACCTGCCAACTTTTGAACTAACAAAGTTTTTATTGAGAACTCCAGAGCAAGCCTTTAAAAGAATTTCGAATGGAACTGGGAAATTTGTATTAGAGAAAGAATAGCTGCATTTGCAATCAAAAGAGAAAATTCGAGTGTCTGGAAGCCCTAGGCCACAAACATTTGTGCTGGTAGTGAAAAGTGGTAAACTAAGGCTTTTTCTTGCTAACTTACAGTCATTTACAATTTACAGTCAGTAAAAAAGATCCTGTGAAGCAAAAACCTGTGTTTTCGTGCGCAGACAAAGTGGTTTTAGAACATTCACAAGCAGGCAATTTTATCTCTTCTTGCCGTTTTGAGCATACCATCCATCGGCATCAACTTTCTCGTACTTTTTTTTCGATCAACGACGGATCCTATGATCCGAAAGGCCTTCTGACTGAAGCTTTACCTAAATGTCTGCAAACATTTGCCGAGATCTCATTAGTTTTATTGCTAACTTGCAAAATTTGAGTGACCCACCGATCATATTGTCGTGAGCATGCTAAAAGAGCGCATAGCTCACATTCTAGCACGAAGAGGGGAGAAAAACGGAGCATACATAGAATTAGATGCAACACAACATTCTTTAACAGTGATGACAGTCATCTAGGCCGATGGAAGGACAGGAGAAGAAAGTGCGGAGGATGAAGTGGAAGTTAAATTAGAAATTTTTGCTTCAAAATAAGCTTTGAAAAATAACAGGGAGCAGCCAATCAATGGAGAAGCAGGTAACTCACACAAACCTTCCTTTGAGTTGTTCACTTATCGCTCAATCCAGCTAAAGTAGCACATTTCAAAGCAGATCTAGTTAATTTTCCGAAATTTTTTTCGAAAGTTTCTTCGAAGGCGGCTTGAAGAAAGGCTGGTACATAATGGTAGACGTATTGTTGGACGACCATCTACAATGG